ATGTTTCCTTTTTTAGTAGTGGCTGTTTTATCATGATATGAGAAAGTTCTGAAAGTTGCATTTGCTAAGTTCAAATTGCTAAATATTTGGTCTGTTTGTTATTATTTTTATTATAGCAACGTTACATGATTTCTGCAATCGATGAGCTGAGCAAAGAACTGAATTAGGGGAGTGCCAAGCATGTCGTCAGTTTCCTAGAAGCTTGCAATCTCACTTTTGAAAAGGGACTGCTTAGTAAACGGAGAATAAAAAGCATGGAGAGCTCTGTCATTCAAAATATCAAGAAAGGAATGGATTTCGAGAAATGGAGCCACAGTCATGATGAAGCAGGTATGTTTAATACCAGTAATCATATCTTACATACTGTGTATGGTTTGGAATGAGATGTCTGATGATATTTTATTTTCTCTTGGGATTCTGTCAGTGTAAATGAAGTACTAAAGAACAAAATGTCAATCCCATATTTCTGTTTTAAGGGATTATGGTAATATTTTGTTCTTGTTCAGTAAGTAAACAACATAGAGGACAACAAATTTACTTTCTGCTTTTTTTTATGAAGTCATTAATTCCTTTTTACCAATTTGCATCGGATAATAGCATTTTGAAATGAAGTGTAATATGCAATCTTCATAAGGATCTTTGTGTTACTTCTAGCAGTGGGAGGGGGTCTTTGACTCTTAAGTATGATTGGTTTATTTATTTAATTGCCCTGCAGTTTATATTCTATTACACAATATTAGTGAGTGTTACAATGTTTTGTCATCAAATTAAAAATAAATTATTTTGTCCTCAGAATACCCTGACAATACCAAGGAGTCTAGGCAGAAAACGTTTCTTGCATGGCAGGTTAGTTACTAATGTTTAAAATAGTAAAAAAAAATGATTTTGGGTCAGTTGGCAATGTTTTATTTCTCGATAGAAGTAGCTAGTGCACAAAGTTTTTATTAATAACCTGGAATAATCCCTGTCTTCTTAACAGTCTTGCTATCATTTGTTAACTTGAAAATTGATGAATTCTTACCTCAGTCTTGATAACAACAACCCTAAACAGGCAGTGCAACAGTAACTGTCACTTGCATGCAATCACGGACAAATAATTGATATTGCTATGGATTACATTGACATATGATCCTGAATCTTGATTACAATTATGTAATGTCAGTGAAGATGGATTATGCCATTTCGCTGTATCTTATTCTATACTGAACTGTCACTATTTTTTTTTCATAGACATGGGATCTTCTTCGAGTTGTTGTGCATTGTTTTCTTTCATTCTGTGAATGGTTCTTTACCAGTGTGTCACCAGATGGAAGAGATTTCATCACTCCATTGTGAATCAATGGCAGTGCTTTGGAATCCATTTTTAGTGTTCTAGAGCACACAAGAGGGGGGAATTTGTCTGCCATTGCTTACCCTCCAGCATTGGGAAGACTCATTAGCAGGAAGAGTTTAGCTCAAAACAATAATTCTGAGAAGGGTTACAGAGACCAAAGTCTGAACCGAGATGGAGGGTTAATTTCAACTCAAGATCAAATTTCCATACCATGTAGCATTGTCTCCAGGGATCTGTGC